CCTGTGAAAACAGTAAGTATAAATTGCATGAGCAGCAAAATATTAACAAAAATGTCAACATGAAAGTGCCACCCAAAACTTGACAGCGCATGGAAGTCTGCTCCAAATACTTATAAATTTAATTGTTGGGAATGATATTTAAACAAATTGGAAGTTTTTACACAAATCCAAGTGATTTTGTAGATTGAATACACAGACACAATTGATAAAATTTTCAAATTGCATCTGAAAAATACTATATCAACAATAACTAGGATTTTTTACAAGGCTAGAAAATAAAATTTCGAATCTCACAATAAAAAAATAATAATAAACACAAACAAGACACAAAATGGAGCTAATACCTCGACTGAAGTTTATAACGAAAACCAACGAGAAATTTGAAAAGTAAAAATACCATAATTTCCATTCAAAGTTAGTTATTGAATTCATAAACAACACAGAGAAAACTCAAAAAGTGCAAATACGATTACCCTGCCAAAAGTTCTAAGCATAATAAATTTTCAAAGTTGAGCAAAAATAAAATCCCAAAACACAATCTACTGGCAAGAAATTCAGCCTGATACTGACCCTGTAAAGTATTCCATACACTTATTAATGCTGATTTTTCAAGCATGGTCTTTTCCAACTTCTGTTCTGCATTATATAGTTTATCAAAAGCATGGTCCAATTCTTTAATCAAATCTTGTGTTACTTTCCTGAAATAAAATTGTTAGTAAAAAAGTTAACACTTATATAGGCATCACTATTCAGCGACCTCAGGTTTGAACCATCTTATCTCAAGTCAGTCCTCACAACACACTGAGATTGTAATAAATTAGGAAGACATATTTGACATTACAGGCTTTCCTAAACCAAAATACTAAAAAAAATAAATCAAAATTCTATCATAGTCTTGTTTAAATCAAAGTTGTAGGATATGAATGAAAAAAAATATCAATAAAGATAAGGAACAAGACAAACTATGAATTATAATGAAGCATGGAATATTACCATTTGAATGGAACCTACCCTACCTTCCGCACAATAATATTTAACAAATTTATACACACTAAAAAGTACAGGATTCATGAATAGGAAGACAAGTAGTTCTCCAGACTAATAGTCACATATTAAGCATCATTCAACCCTTTATCAAAGAAACATACTCAACATATATTTAAACAGAGACAAAGAATATTTTAAAAAAATAGTATAATTTACCCTGTAGCATCAACAACTTGAATTTTGTTGTCATTTACAGTAAGATGAGTCTGGAAAGATTCAAGTAATTGATTTGCACTTGTTGATTGAACATTTCTGGTTGAGCTCTGCCTACTTTTCATATATAGGTTGTTTACAGAACCTTGTAGATTAGATACTTTTATTTTTATAGTGCTGAATATTCTGTAAAAACAAAAATGTTTATTGTTACCACCCAAAGACTAAATTTAAGACAGTGAGTAAAAATACTTAAAAACACTGAAATGTTTGAGTAATGTTTGTTAGACAATAGATTTATTTCCCCATGCGAGAAATCACAGAAAATTCATTCCAATAAAACTTGAATATTATTTTTAAGCAACGTAAGAAGATCTTGCTACATGCTGGAGGAAAAGCATGGATTACCTGAATTAGGTGTCATGATGATATATACATAAAAGCCATTTTAGCTACTTTTTTCCCAAGATTGACTACAAATATATTATCATACAGTAGGAGATGTTCCAACCGACTTTAGTTTGTTAATATCTTTTTCAAAATTATATAAAATATTTACAACTCACGATTTATATAATACAAAGGCACGAACTGTCCAATCCAGGCAGGTAGCATCTGTATTAGTACCATATGTGATGAGCATTGAAACTATGAAATCAGATTCTTTAGTGTCAGATTTGGCTTGCAAATCTTTGCATAGTTTTCTGTGTATTGACTGAAGAAAATATCAAATTGTGAGTAAAATATGTCTAACAAATATTTTCAGCTTACGATTTTCGGTTCATATTTATTTTTAACAAATATTCAAAATTTAAGGTAAAATTGTTGCAATTATTGAGAAAAGGGGCACTCCAGAGCAATGAATTGGGAGTGTATGCTAAAACACAAATTGTTGAATTTTAGACTTTGAATGAATTTACATATAAACTGTATAGCTTTGACTCATTTCGGTCCTCAGTGCAATACTCTGCCTCGCGGTACAAAACTTCCTATGACTACATAAAATGAAAATAATATAATATTTTACATGACTTAAAACGAAATGATTGACTTCATACCTTTTCTAGTAAGGAGAGTGTGTTTGAAGAATTCCGTATTTTAAAAAGACCAATACACGAGGACAGTGATGAATAAGAGTCAGTTAACAAAGTTTCAGTTTTTGTTGATGAAAGAGATTTAAGAAAATTTTTGCTTGAAGTCGTAAGGTAGTCCTTCACACCTGTAAATAAAGTAGAATATCAGAAGTAGAATCAGTAGAATAAATGAAAACGTTAATAAAAAAATAATGAACACACAAATTTGAGGATGTTGCAATTATTGAAGAGAATGAAGAAGGAGTTGAAGTGCATCAACTGGCTTTCCCTCCTTCCGTCAAAGTAGAGTTATCTTACTCCGTTATCCTTTAAGTGCATTATAAAGATGAGTACTATCACTAAAAAAACTGAAAGACTTACATACAGAAGCTTCTGATTTTGTTACATGCTGTGAATCAGTTATTTCACATTTCGTTTCTGATATTATTTCACCAAACAACACTCCACCGCAGCTACCTCCATGTTTGTAATGTTCATGGAGAATCTTCCCCAAAAGAGGACCTGATATTTCCAAACTTAATTTACTTGGCTCCATTTTAAAACTAAAAAATGGAAAATTTCACTATTCTATATTCTTTCGATATCAAGTATTTTACAAATGCAAGAAAGTCAAACACAAGTAAATCTAAATAATAACATGACATGAATAAACACAGTTCATGTAATTGTCAAAATAGTAGTTAGGGTTCTGGACAGAGATGCTGTGATTATAATACAATTTATTCATAACAGAATTCTCAAATCTAATCCTAATTCAGTAATCAGGCAATGAAAATGAAATAAAATAGACTAATAAAAACAGTGAAATTATCATCGAATTAGGCCTAGACCACAAAATATTTTCTGGAATTTTTAATGTCTTTACACAATTTCATTCTAAAACAACAAAAGACAGAAAAATAGAACGGCCAGTGTATTAGCCTTTTTTGATAAAAAAAAAGATACATCGGTACGCCAACCCTTACCGTATTTATCTACGACTACTTACGGCGCAATAACCCACCTCTCTGCCTCTGATCGTAGTACTATTCTCCCATACCCGACATGGAATGGTACAGTAACCGGACGAGAGGCCGTGGTTCGCCATATGGTTGAGCCGTCTTATCGCCTTCCCTTCCCTGGATAAATATATCCTACCCTATTCCTAGCCCTTACTCTGGCAATCAATTGACAATTTCTCATGGCGGTACCGTAATACAGCATAAACAGAAAGGTCGAATGAATACGCAAACGTAGTGTAGCAAGTTAACTACTGTCATTTTTCCAATATATTTGGAGACTTGAATATCGAACACATTTCCTTATTTAGAAAATCTCGAAACTGAGACACTTCCGATGCTACACGCGCCCGATCACCACAAACACACACATACAAAGTAAAACAAACAGAAAATCAATTATGAATGCTTTGAAAAAATAAAATGGGGAAATTTGCGAAATAGTATTCGGATCTTAGTCAAGTGAAGCTGTAAACACCGGAAAACATCTCCCTTTCTTTCAAAATATTCAAGAAGCTGCTGCTGAAGTTGTTTCGTGTCATTGACAAAAGTAAGCAACTGAAAGTTGACTACCAAGTTTACGCTAAACTAAATTACCTAAACTTGAAAACATGCCAAGCGTAAATAATGTAGGGGATCGGCTAAACCAAAAGACGGTACGAACGGAATGAGACTTGATTCGCCTCATGTTTTTAAGCTGTCTCACTGTTTTTCCCTACTGGTATAAATATGAATTTACTGCGACCATTTTCAATATAAATTTATTTCGACTCCCATAATCATTGAAACAAACGCCCATAAAACATTGTTCTGTGAACATTTGCGCGCCTGATTTGACAACGGAGACCTCAAATATCTTTGTATCTGTTTCAACTTCGAAAAAGATCGTCCGCAAGTAGCATTTAAGATACGATTTACATATTTATCTCGGGGAGAGGAAAGCCGATAAGACAACTTAAAGATAAGGCGAACCACGGCCTCTCGTCCGATTACCAGTTTATGTCGAAAAAGGGGTTAGTTAGCCAGTTATCCGTTCCAGATGCATTGACTTAATGGTGGAGGAAATTCGAAATGCACTATATAACAAGCCGGTGAATTTGAGTAACCAGTTGCAAGGTATAAACGATATGTATAGATAGCACAAAGTTGAGGTCAACTAATGGGGGAAGAAAATCTTTCGCATTTTTTGGATACGCACCGTTTCCACTTCGGAAAAGCGTAAGGCAGTCAACGATTTGTTTAAAAAAAAAAAAGATGAGTTTACTTAAATATAGGAGACATATGAACTCTACAGCTTGGATCTGCTGCCCCCTATACCGTGCTAACCGGGGCGGCTGCTCCCAACAAAAAGTTGATATTTTTCGTTCGGATCACCAATATACATTAATATTTTCCTGTTGCATTGTATAATATGAAAGCGGGTGGGTGCGGTTCAATTCTTAGCGCGAAATTGAAATAGCATTGCCAACTTGATCCAACTCTACAGAATCTTATCGGTGTATACTGTTCCTTTCTGTCATATTTATGCATTTCTCCACAGGCTACATCAATCAAGATGGGGCAATGCAAGTCCCAAAATTAATATAATAGTTGTCATGATATTTAATCTACTTTAGTAAAAAATATGACCACTTCAATTTCTGAACTAACAATATAATTTTTTCTGAAAAAATTGCTCTTAATCTATTAACCTCTGCATTCACATTAATTCACAGAAGAAAGATCACGCATATTTGAAATAAGCAAATAGCTTTATTTACAGCTTGCATGAAATCACGGCAAAATAGTCCATAAAAAATCATTGCCAGACCCCAGGTATCTTAAGCTCTTCAGCTACCACATTCCATATAAGTCGACCAGGGTGTAGAATGCATTGCAAAGCTAGTATCTGAAAATGAGAGTAGTCTATTAATCAACAGCAGAATTTTTTTACCCTCGCTGGGTAAGTTGTTCACACCAACAATTTGGGACAAGGTATTAGAAAAAGTCTCAAATTATGCCAGCTTCCTTTTATATGCAACTGTTATTATTAATTCATCCAAAATCAATAGGCTTTTGGTCCGAGATATGAAGAATACACATGCAAAATTCGAAGGACATTCAACCTCGCTTTCGTGAGATATCGCGTAACATACGAAAGTGTCTAACAGACAAACACACGAACAAACAAATACCTATCAACATACTTACCGATCTTAAGATCGATAAGTAAAAACATTCTACATTCAAATTTAATTTCAAAAAACAATGTAAATGGGGTCTACAGAAGACTGTCAAGATTGCTAACACAAACAAACAAGTGCAAATGTGAAATGAGAATCAAGGCCCATTCCAAGAATAAATATGCATAGCACGGCATGTAAAATATGTAGTAACACAGTGTAAACCAATTTATATCATTTTTTAAACATACTATTAGGATTGCAGGTAAACGCTGAAGTAAAATTTCTCAATTACCTACAACTCACCAATCAACAATATTCCCTGCATTTCTAGGAATCAATCTTTGCTTGGTTGTATTTTTTCTGGCAATACAGTCTCAACACTAAACGCTATGCTCTTTAGTGTTTTCTCAAATTTCTCTTTGACGTCTTGAGTGGACTTCAAACCTTCCTCTGTCTCGCTCAATCTTTTCTTAGTGGACTCATAGTTATCATGTAGTATTTTCTTCTCATCTTGCGTTTTTGTCAAAATTTTGTTAGTATCATCTAGAGAAAAAAAATACATTTTTGAAACAACTTATCTAACATCTAATGCAACCACATTTATCTTCTGGAACATCCTTGAGAAGCACTCAAAAGGATACTCCCTAGTTAGAAATACCTCAGTGCATACTTGTGAGAGAAATGGCCAATTTTTAACAAATGCTTCAAAAAGCAAGACAATCTAATATTCTTGTTAGGAATATTAAAATTATGTGTTACCAATTAATTACGTTATAAAAGACATGATCACTATATATTCAATTCACTGGCAAGTGAAACGAGCATCTCTTATTAAATGAATGTTTCAAATATATACAATTTTGACAACATCACTTCAAAATTCCTCAAGGGGTCACAAGCTCTAAACTGGAAAAGCACATTTTGATTAATCATCCATTTCTGTAGAAATCCATAAACCCCTAGTCGCAACTCAAATCAAAAGGTTTCCGAGTCAAGTATGAGTCCGAAGTCGAATCACTAAGAGTCATTTCGTAACTTGAATCTAACTCGACTCGAGTTAAATAAAGCTTCCCAACAAAGGTCAGTGGAGGTTAAAATCTTCATAAATCACAAAATTACCAAGATCCTTCTTCAACTTTTCCAAAGAAATTTCTAAATCTGCACGATCTTCTTCACTAGATGATAATTTCCGTTGTAATGATTTAATATCAATGACAGTTCCCTGTATGAATTTAAACCGAGAAAGTTGAGATAATGAAACATCTTCTGTTTTTTATGCTACATAATTACATTAAATACATATACCGGTACATGATTTCATATCACCGATGTTTCCCTGTATGAATTCAAGAAGAAAAGATAAGATAATGAAACAACTGTTTCATATTACGCTACATAATTACGTTACATATACAAATATAACAAGAAAGTTATCAATAAAATTTTGTCACCAAAACAGCCTACATGCAAAAATTTCAATACCACAACATATAGTTTAATAACAATACAATACTCTTTGAATCTTTAACATACATCGAAAACCACAATTCCATTGCTTTCGGCAGGCATTGAATGTTTCCTATCACCATTGCATACAGATGTACTAGGCAGCAGCTTCTGAAAATTCAATGAAGGTAAAGTATGTTGAATAACATTTACTGGTAAACAATTCTTAGAACTACAATACATTTGATTTTTAAAAAATATACACAATTTTTAATTTAGATTACTTTGTTTCCATTAGCTAGTGTGGCGATATCAACCTTCTCAGCATTTTCCAATAATTCTTTGTATTGTTCTAACTTTGATTCTGGAAAGTCTATCAGCTTTCTGTATTGGATCTGATCTCGTTCTATATATTTAGCCAACAATTTGGAAATCTTGAGTGGGGAAAAAATCAAAATATGATGGTTAATACCAAATAGAGAGAGAGAGAGAGAGAATTTATTGCTTTTGTCAAACCAGAAAACTAACACACAAAATAAGAACACACAAGCCCTTAACTACTAAATACTCCAGGTCTATTCAAACTTTCTCACAATGAACAAACGAGAATATCGGTCGGAGACCGAAGACTTATCGATCGAAAGTTAGGGAATCTTCCTGCGGTTTCGATTCATGCGCTCTTACTCCATAGTGACACCGTGTGTCCCATCACTAATTATTTAATAACTCGCTAATTATACGACATAATTCATCCAAAATCAATAGGCTTCTGATCCGAGATATGAATGCACATGCAAAATTTGAAGCAGATTCAACCTCACTTTCGTGAGATATCGCGTGTATCTAACAGACAGACAGACACATGCCTATCAACATACTTACAGATCTTAAGATCGATAAGAAATAAGTGAATTTTCGTTAAGATTTATATATTTATCCCGAGAAGAGAAAAGTCGATAGAAAGCAACATAAATTACTGAAAAACAACAAATATTATGAAAATCATAGAAATAATATTATTTTTGCGAAGTTACCTGAGAACGAGAAAGGCCAAGTCCAATGGAGTGAATGATGTCATTCATGTCACTTGCTTTAATATATCCACATTGTGTTTGGTCAAAGAATACAAACGACAACAATAAATCTTTACGCAGTGTCACAAGTTTTTCAGCAGGCTGTATAAAAGCAAAAAATAAGATTAGATTAGAAAAACTAAGGAGCAAACATATAAATGAATCGTAAACTCTAGTAAATTACCTTTTGTGGAACTTTTCCTTCTTTTTCTCTGGAAGATTTGTCAGTTTTCTTGCTACTTTTGCTATCTTGAGAATGTGAACGCTTACGATCAGATTTTTTATCATCGTCTGAAATGACAAAATGCTGATCTGCATGGTTTCCGGACACGTTGTCACAAAAAGATGAGGATTACTATGTCTATATAAATGCAAACGACTTAACTAGTTTAGATCAAGATAAACAAAAAAAAAATAAACTACAAATCCAGACAAAATACATCAGAACATTTACAGTATTTCTATTTTTCTAATAGAGCTTTTAATAATCTGAAACGTACATTTGAATCAGAATAACAAAAAAAGATTTTATATGAAAATTTAGTTTCCTTGTATGTTTAGTTTCTTATAAAAGAGAATATTATAACATTAACTAATGAGTACTCTCTCCCTATTTCTCCCTCTCGTTAGTACTCTTTCCTCTTTTATGGCAGTTGGGTAATTTGAATGAATATATATGTATATAGTTCAGTGATTTTACCCAGTTTTTCCTTTTTCAAATTCTCTTCTTCTGATTTGTCAACTGTTTCCTAAAAAACAAACTCTCTTTTACCACTTAATCTAATAATAATGTCATCATTTTTTTTTCAAATTTTTGCTCCGATAGATCTTAATGTAGTAGCCAAAGATATATAGAAATCTACATTATTCTCGTAAAAAAGGAACCTGTCCAGTTCAAAGGTCAGAAGTTGGACGTTAAATTTGAACCTAATATCTCTGAAATAAGACACCAACGAAGTCAAGCCCAAAACACTAACCAAAATGCCATTCTCCCAAAACTCAAAAATTCTTACGCCTTTTTCATTATTCTTTTCTTCAGTATCTTCAGATTCACTCTTGCTTTTCTTTGCTTTTGGCTCACTATCTTCCTCATCATTTTGTGTTTCTTTTTTATCCTCATTTTCCTCAGTTTTTTCTTCTTCTTCAACTTTCAACTCAGGAAGTGGGTTGGATAGAGCAGTATATATATTGAATGCATGTTGTCGTTGTAACATCTCGTAAAATGCTTCAGCAAAAACAGAGACCTGGACAAAAAGCAGACAAGAAATTTCTGAAAACTTATACATATTTATGTGATGGCCTAGTGGTGAGAGCGTTAGACTTAACTGTGTTGGTATCGCGGGTTACAAATTTCTGGGGTTCAAATCCCACACCTACAACCTAACCGGGGTTCAAATCACATACCCACAACCTCACCCAGAGTGCAACAAATTGGAACAAACCGAAATGATTTCGGTCGTTCCGAAAGTAGTAAATATTATATATCAGTGGCTATTTTAGACCTTTCTTCGGAGTGAAAAGCACGATTAGTGTTGGATAAAAAAGAATCAACCTTACCTCGAAAATGCTTTCTTTGTTATCTTCAATGCGGTACGCAAGCAAACTAGACAAAGAAGTTGTTGAACAGTCAAAATTTCCTTTCTTAAACTGAGCATTTGGATGAACTGGAATACCAGGATTATTTTCAGGTAGAGTGTAATGTCGCTTGATTCTATCGACATCAATCTTAACAAAAATGACGAAAACATTGATTTTTTCATGAATTTTTACTTTATAATTATTTCATCTATAATGCCTATGTGGTAAGGGATTATGGAATTGGCATATCGCATCAAAGGCTTTGGTTTCAAACCCTTGTGCTGAACAACGCTGTTCACTGCATCAACTATGCTTTGAATGACAAATATCTATAGCTAAGTTTATTTTAATAGGATTGTAAAATTCAAACTAGTATGTATAAAAAAAAATTTTCTTGGGAGTTTAAACTTCAAACCGTGATAAAAAATAGAAATATTCGCTAAATCCTTTACCGTTACCGCTTCGTGGTTGGCAAACAATAGCATAATGTTGCTGTAGCAATTTCGTGATCTAACTCAAAATACTTTGGTAGATGGAAAGGATAAAATGTATTCTATTACCACCCAAAAAACACCAAAATTTGCGTAAATTTCAAAAACACTCCCTCGTTCAGCCAAATAAAATTCCCGTCGTAAACGAAAGCGAGATTTATCATTGCTTATGTTAATCTCGAAGAAGACTTCTTATCAATAAACTAAAACCTGGAAAAATTAGACCAACAGCTTGGGACCGATTGCTACATAAAACAATGGGTAACCTAAAGTACCCGCCACGATCTAGCGAGTTTTGTCGTTGGTACGTATACGTGCCCACCGCACGGTAAGGGATATTAAATAGAGTAATGATATTTTCAATTAAACGTTCGACGAAGTGTATTAAATGTGTCAATAAAAGCTTTATGAAATACTGATTAACATAAAGCAACACTCATTGCGATATCCCATCTTTTCACTTTGTAAAATTTTTTTTTAAATTGAAAGACACTTTATGGACACCCTATATACCCCATTACACATTCCTCATTTTAAAATTTTAGATGTAACCATATAAGGTTATTATTCTAATATATTTACCTTTATTGGTTTCAGTATTGGTTTATCAGTATTGTCTTTGTCTTCTGTCTTTTCGTCAGTTTTTTCTTGTTTGGTAGATTCTTCTTCTTTTGTTTCCTCTTGTTTCATTTCTACCTCCTCCTCCATCTTCTCTTGTTTTACCTTTTCGACTGTTGGTGCCTTCTCATCCTCCTGCATGGATTCCTCTTTTACTAATTTTTCTGGATTTTCTCCATTTTTCACATTTTCTTCTTTCATTTCAACATCTTTGGACTTGAGGAAAAAATCAAATCTATGTTTAATCATGATTCAAGTTAGAATTAATGATCTCCATACAGAAAAGTTATTTTACTTGGTGAGAAGATTGCATACACCAAATCTCATTGTCACTTTATTAGGATGATGATAATAAAAAAAATTGGGACTACACTTACATGCTCATCTTTAATATGAAAATGGCTCAAACAAAATTCAAAACGAATTATTCTCAAAACATATTCTTTTCAAGTAAGAATCTTAAGATAAATAGCCACAAACACGCTTGATTCATGCATTGATGGGCATTAGAAAAGCACCATACCTAAATACGCCTATGTAACTGCGGACCTATGCAGTTATTTACCTACATATTGCCACACCTGGTGAACGTAACTTTGTGCACCCCTGCATCTGCCATTAAATATCATATTTTTAACGACACTAAAAGCAGGATTTACCGCACAAACTAATTACCTCCGATGCAGACTTTTCTTCTGCCTCTACAGCATCAGTTAATCTTTGTATTAATGCATTCTTCAATCCCCGGGGTGACAGTCCTCTTGCCTCTAGTTCTTTTCTCAGAGTGGGAACCTATAGAAAAAAAAATTACCAATTGAAGTTTGATAGGAACCAAAAACCATTGTGATAAAACAAAGCCCTGAGTAAATGTATATAACTAAATAAAAATACATTGTCACACTCACTTTCAAACTTTTAATATCAAGTTTTGAATCGAGAGTTTTTCCTGGGTCGTTTTCATTTGTTTCCTTTTCAGTAGACTCGACTGCATCAGTACTCTCATCCAATGTAGTATAAACTTCATTTTCCGGGTTTGACATAACCTCATCTACGTCAGTAGCAGATTTTACAGTCTCCTGAATATTAAGATAAAATCTGAGAAAAGCGTTCAAAGATAGGAAAGTGGACAACAACCTTACCAATGATACCAATCAGGGTACCATACGCCTTCTCCACTTGGTAATTTATGAGAAGAAAATAATCAAATCTGGTATTGATAGGATGAATTTTTGATGAATGATGGACAATCTAATTAGAAATCAATTATTAAACCCAAATTGTGACTTGATTGTTGAATAAAAGTTGGTCTGGTACCATGTTTTCTGATTATATCACTATAATCAGCAGCTATATCTCAAAAAAGAACTGTAAATCTTTTCTACAAATCAATAAAATTATGTCGTAATAGAAAATATGCCTTCTGATCACTGGGTACATCATTCTTAGCATCAGCATCTGGGTCTTGTTTCTCCTCAACGTTCTCAGAAGCAAGTTTATCTGCGGCACTATTCTCTGCAGCTTCCTGTTTGGCCTTGATAACGGCCTCACACTTATCAATGTAGCTGGTACGTAGCGAATTGTACTCAATAGATGACAGCATACAAGAGTGGACATCGGGAAGAAATATAACTGTTGTTTCCACTCTGGCTGGAATCGTGTGGCCCTTATGAACCTCAGCACCGCGATGATACTGGATTTCCAGCATACGACGCCTTTTTATAGAGTCACGTTTCAATGTTTTGTGTAAATGAGGACGAAAACACAAGAAGGTTGATGTCGATCATGGCGTTGTCAGAAGATTGTAGAGAAGGAATTCGATGTTCCGAAGTAAATGATAAATATAAAACAAGACAACAAATTGAATCAATCTGGAAATGGTAAGTAACTAATACATCAATAACAGGTAGTTGTAGAGAGAACTCTCAAAGCAATTGACGTCGTCAGCGAAGTAGAGCAACTGCTTCTCAAAACGGTACACGAGGCATTGAGTAACTTTGATACAGTTTTATAGAAAAATTATAAGAAAAATAAAAATGATATTGACATACCACTGGGTACAATTGCTCAAATCAATTCCAGTAAGATTTTTGCATGTACGAATAGCTGTACGAATGAGAGTCCCAGGATCAGTACCCGGATAAAGTCCATCCAATGATGGTGACCAGGGGCCACCGATCGCCATCTGCTCCTTTTTTCCTTTACACCCAACAAGAAACTAAAAAAGTGAAGAATGTGATATAAGATGAAAATATACATAAACAAAGGTCTCACCTGACAGGCATAGTTACTTTGACTGGATAAGATAATCATACATGATTTGAAGATAAATAAGCTTTTCAAATCTAGGCTTAGTTACATTTAACATTACATCAACACCAAAATACTAAATCAAGTCCATACATCTGAAACAAATAAATGGCCGACTAATCCCATACCCGTCATGTACTGGTAACCGGACAAGATATGATTAAGCAGTATTATCGCCTTTATTCTCCTCCGGTATAAATTTGTAAAATCCTATCCTACTCATAAACGGGTATAAATAACACTTTCAAAAAATGCAAATATGAAAAATATATTCAAGTCTGGTAGCAAGAAACAAGTTACCTGACACTGCTACTATATTATTGACTTGTAATTTTATCAGTTAATAAAGAGCCAAACCTTAAATAAGCGAGATTGATGAAGAAAAGTATCTGAATCATCTTCAGCAAATTTACAACATTGATTATAAATTTCCTCTTTGTTCGGAATTTGAAGCAACATCACCTTTGCCGACCAGGTATGATCAGCATCTGAGGGGCTCATTGCCTTAGAATCGAGTTTTTCCAAAGTCTCAACATCCTACAAAAACAAGAGAGTGAGGCTCAAATATAATATGGACACAAAGCAATCTGTCACAGTAGCTTACCAGTACTGTATCGCAAGAATAAGTAAGTTTCGAAATAGGGATAAGTAATACCCTTCTAGTGAAAATTGCACTATTTAATCACTGAAAATTTCAAAGAAATTGGCCCAGTAGTTGATGAGAAAAGCGTTTTTTTTTATAACATCAACAAGAAAAAGGATACAAAATGAAAAAACGATCCATCAGCCCAATTTGTGTTCAATAAGGTAATAATTTGAATAGCTATGCCAAACCATTCCATTAAGCTTTAATGGAAGCAACTTTCAAATCAAAATAGTTCATAAAATGAGAAATATGACTTTAGCAAAGTAGTGTGATACATTGCAATGTGGTGACATACCTTGTGCAAAATATGAAAATAACATTTTCTAGCAGATAATGGTTGTTCCAAAGTAAAACTCTTATGCCAGTTGTATCCAACAGAGAAGACATCACTTGGAATATACAAACTTGAAAAAGCTTGTTTCAGACTCATAACATCAGAAGATTTTCTAAAAAAGATTATATTTTATATGTATTGTTAACAGGGAGGAGGAACTGGAGTCATAATAGCTGTAATATTTTGTTAGAGCTGAAGTCGGAAAAGCTAGAGCTAGATGGAACTTCAGCCGAAGCTACCAGCTAAACATCTAAATTTCTAATAATTTTATGATAATCTTCAAGATAATTTTATATACTTGAAAGATGAATTCTAAATTTGAAAGCCTTATATACAATCTTAAGTCCCACTTCTGCAAAACTGCATTTTGACTGATGTTCAAAGTAGTGGTCATAACAGAGCCCAGCAGCTCCTAGGTGGAAAAATGATGCTCCGGAGCTGGAGTCACAGTTTTAATACACTGTTCATAAAGCTGGAGACTGACCCATTGTGATATTAAACCAGCTCGTCAGCCCTGATTGCTAAGTCATAAATGACTTGTTGAATATGGAACTTATTGTGATTCATGATATGTGAATAAATATGTGAGACACATGAGACCAGGAAAGACTACATTCCCACAAACCTTGTGAGTTGTCGTTTTGCATATTGAATCATATATCGAGGAGCAGGACGTCTAGGCATCTTATCAGCAGATACACCACGACGATTTCCAGGGGATTGTTTCTTTGGTGGAGTTCTTGTTCTGACAAAATTTAAAAAAAATATAGGTAATAAATATCTAATAAGTAATAAATATCTAATATCTGGCAAGCAGGGATGGACAAAACCGAATATTTTCACTATTCTATATACATTCTGAAACAATATTTCCAAATATGGAATATTGAATACATTCGAAATTGAGGGGGGGCATGTTAAAAAAAAATTAAACATATCACTATATTTTCATGTTTGTCACATATATAACAACGTAAATGAAAAAGTCATTGTTTTCTCTGTGTTATTTTTTATCAGTCGAGATATCGTATGTTTTGATCTGCTAGTCTGACAGCTCGAAATCTCTAATTTTCAAATAAAATTATTCTTAACTTAAATTTTTTTATTATATCGAATATGATGGAAATTTGAATGCAATCGAATCATTTCGTAAATCCCTGGTAAAAAGGAAAGTTTTTCTGATTGAATATTCAACATGCTAACCTCCGCTTTTTGTATTGGTCCTTTTCTCGACTTTTACGACGTGGTGAGGAAGAATGATCCACAGCAGCTGACCTAAGTTGGTAAATCGAAGGGTTATATCTTATATGATTGGCCTTCAATTGTTGACATTATTAAAAATAAATACTTGATTAACCACATATTATGACTGTGAGAGAATTAAAATTTTCATCTAGGTGTAAGACAGAGATGCACTTAATAAAACCAAATTTCACATTGTCAGCATTTTTAGACCTGAATATCTGAACTGTAATCAAAATATTGAGACCAAAAGAATCTATCGATTCAGGAAATTGGGGGAAATTTCTTCTACCAATATTCTCTGTTTGTCTCTGTTTCTCTGCCAATTAAGATGAATTATTCGAAAATCAAGAGTTCAAAGTTCAAAGAAGAACTAGAGCTGCGTGCAGCTTTAACAGGCTTCCCGCGTAAAAAAAAATTTGCATTTTATTGCTAGCTGAGAACTTCTGCACATTTGAGGTGAATTTCAAGTTTGTAGGACCAATTTGAAAAAATAATAATAATAATAATAAATAAATAATAATAATAATAAAACACAGGAATACAATAGGTTCCCTGCTGACAAGCAGCGGGAAGCCTAAATATGGGAGCCAATCTCATGACAACAGAACCTAAAAATTAAAGTTAGTAGTAATACCTTTGAGCATTTCGTTTCTTTCCTCCTTGCTGACGACGAGGTTGAGGAATCCTTGGTTGTTGTTGGTTTATTACATTGATCGGGGCAGCACCAAGTAATCCAACTAAAAATGCAAAACTAGATAATACAAAGATCAATTACGCAAGGACAAATTCTCTCCAGCTGGTCAAATTTTGCAGAGAGATTAGCATTTGAATTAAGAAATTGCCAGTAAAGTTGGACATTAAATAATTTTTAACAAAATCAAATGGAATTTGTAAATTGAGCCAGAGCAATAATATAAAAAGTTTAACAATAGCCATCAGCAAGCACAATGTTAACTAAAAGAATAAACCATACCACCGCCATGTCCTGATACAAACTTCAATCCTTGAGGAAACTGAGATCGATTGGCATTGTAGTGGCTTCCCTAAAATACAAAACAAATATGTTCATAGATGAAGAGAAAAAAACGGAGAGAAAAAATTCTGACTGGAGATGTGAAAGTAAGCCATAGGGTCGGTGATATTATTAGCTCCCAATGGTTATGACTTATGAGTCTTTCTGAATTTAGTGAAACAATAATAATACTATAAGACAAGGTTTCCCAACCCTGGAGTAATTCTTCCCAGGGAGAAATTTTATCTGAAAAAATTGTCTTTGTATTTGGTGTAGTATTACTAATACTGTTTACTTATTCAGTGGTATTGTAATGCATATTTATGACACACATTATGAACTATTAAAACTGAACAAAAGCCAAAGTCAGAATTGTGTGTATCTCTAGCTGATAATCAAGTACCGTAAATAACGAATAACACACAATTACACAAAAACAGTTTATATTCATACCGACAAAGGAACGAAAGGTTCCAAAATAGGTTTAAAGAAGGAATTTGGCCCTGCAGCATCATCTTGGGGTGATGCTGTTCTCGTATAAAAATGTTTCGCGCTGTGCAAATTTTGTAGCCATAAGTTTTAAGCTGTTCTAATTAGACCGAATGGTCATTTCGCGGTTATCCTGCCATTCGGTACAAATATTTTGTGATCTTCCTCGTGTTCATTTTGTTTTGCTTTACCGGAATGGCTAATAAAAAACGATTTGATTGATTGATTTATCTATTTCTGTATTTGTTATTTTTTGTTCGAATGTATAAAATTGTCGCACGACGAAAATAAATATCTGAAACCAACAAGTAACAATACAAACCTGCATTTGTACAATTCCTGATTGTTGCTGATGTGCTACAAATTGAACACGAGATGCATTCCATTCAAATGGCATATTAGGATTGTACTGGGCTTCCACAACAACACGATCTCCAATGTTGGGAATTTTTCCATCACAAACTCTTAAAATAAATATGGTTAACATTGAATATTGTTAAGAGATTTAGATAAATAAAATACAAGGCAATAACAAGTAAAGGAATATTTTTAGTAGCCTACAATTAGCTTTTCATATAATAGTATAAAGAGCAGTATAAAACTTACGCCAATTGAAAGAAAACATCATCGTCAATAAATCCAAAATTTTCATGCATTTTCGTCACTGTTCCAGTGAACATACGTGGTTTGGGGTGCCCAGAAGCCATTTTAATCTTTTAAACTAGCCAATATGTAAAAGTTATAAATCTGTGAAGAATAAAACAATTTTATGGTAAAATTATCACATCATTTTATCAACGCATTTAATCAAAATTTATTTACAGTATTCACTGAGAGAGATTAACAAATATTTAAAAGACTTGACCAAGCAAAGATATGAGTATACCGGTGGCTAAATCCTAACATTGATGCTTCCAAGTTAAAGAAAACTTTATGTCAAATTAAACTAACCACTGAACCAGTAGATCAAAAAAGTGCAATCAACTAAAATAAAGCTATTAGAACTAGGGTACTTTCTAAAGATGTTAATACATTAAATATGATGTGTGAATATTTCTGATATGAATGCTTTTGCTCAAAGCAATAACAAGAATATATAATATTATTTTAAATTTTATTTACAATACTTGGAAATGTTTTTTTTTTGTTTGTTTCATATCCCATTCTTATTCGAATAGTTAGTTCAAGATAAATCGGGAAAGCGGCTGGGTTACATGGTTATGGCATGGTTACATGCTGCCATGCCAATCCCGTCTGTCTGAGTGTTAATCACATATAATAATGATCACCATCTTATATTGCATAGTCAAGCATTTATTTTTTCATGGAGTAATTTCCAGATTTCATGGTGCTTATTTTGTTAGTAAAATGGGTACCAAAACAGATCAACCCTAAATTTTCACCAGAATAAAACAGTCATGTTAGAAGGAAAGACCATTCTTCACAGTACCAATAAATTGAAAAACTTTGACATATGTCAGTATCAGTAGGATACTAGATAAATTTATAGTTTAATTTTGAAAATATCATCATCATCATTACTTTTACATTTTTTGTGTGTATTTTTAGTATGACTGTTCGATGGAAAAATGAAATACTACAAATACAATTAGGACTGTCCAAGCAACCAAATATTCGAAATCAAATCGAATATTATTCGAATCGCTTTTCGGCTAATTTTCGAATCGCTAAAATTAGGTACAGAAAGCGGAAACCACCTTTGCAAGACGTTTTTCATCGGGCAAGCGGTGGCGCTCCAAGCTTAGACCACTCTCTCTCCCAGCTTAATTGGTTTCCCGATATTTCTCTCGCCTTCATTTTGTGACAAACATGTTATTCCTAATGCCCTCCCGGTGGCACGTGATTTCATGCATGGTCATCATAACTTAAAAGTTATAATCAGTAATGACGTTTTTGAGAGTGAACAAGGAGAAAAAGGCAATTTGGAAAATGATATTCTATAAATAGAATCGATTTGAAGCTGTTGAGTTAGTTATCATAGGAACATGGTACAGGCAACTCAAAGCTGAAACAGGTATTGTGGGATCCTCAGGATGGCAATACCTTCTTTCAATGGAATTTGTCTTCTTATGATGGCAATACTGTATTATCCATCTATATACCAAAACCTTTACATGTCCTATTAAAACTGCATCCATTAGAATTGAGATTGCAATTTTTGAATTGTGCAATTTTTACTCTCAACACTCAACAATTTTCAAAACCCAAATTTTGGAGTCCTCCAAATTTTTTCGACCAGTTCATACAAGCTTGTGATCTCCTTTTATAAATCTGAAAACATTGTATTGCAAAATACCAGCAGTAAGTCAGATGTAACTGTAAATGTAACATATACGTTGCCCCAACATCAAAGGGCAGGTGTTTATTGTATAGCCTAATAGAGACAGATTTAGGATTGCGCAATAATATTCGATTTGGCGAAAATATTTGATTCAAATCATGAAATTATTCGATTTTGGACAGCCCTAAATACAATACGATTTTATTTCGATCTTTCGTCTACAAAATAAAACACAAATAAAAACAACACAGACAGATCGGGAAAATGGGCAAAACCTATATAAAGGTTTATAACGAACGCTGTAACCAGTGCTTGTGCCCATTCACCCACACAAGTCTGCAAGTGAAAACACATCACGACAATCACACTAGAATAAATTAGTACTGTAGTACATGATCACATTCACAAGAAAATTAACTTCACGGGCGAAGCTTACTTGTAATGTTGTAAATAATTTTGATGAGTGAAAGTTGTGTAGAACCCCAAAAATTGATATGTGACGGTGCCTGTGCAGAAATGTGAATACCAATAAAAATACTGTACTAACAATTATTTGATTAGCTGCTGTTTTTTGTGAACAGATAAAGCTAAAAACTAAACAACAAACATAAAAACTAGTTTCGAGCGTTGCTTCTTATGTAACTGATTACTGAGACGGTCACCATACAGCTGTACAGCAATAGCGTGTTGTTTCAATCAGATACCCACAGGCTGAATACTGTCATTACTACATTAAAATATTGTTGATATAGCAGACACACTTTTTACTCATTTTTTTACATATAGGCCTATGTCTGTATGTGTACGTTGTGTTTTCTGGTTCGACAAATCTGATAAACTCTCTTTTTTTCGCCAAATAAATTGCAATGCCCAATCCTTGTCTTACATCCCCTACAGACACTCAGAAATAAAGAAAGATGTCGCGGTGATTAGTAAATCCCTGCCGCCGCGCGTGGGAACGACCGACAATGGCTGCCCAAATGACGATTTTCACGAATCACAAACGCTTTCATTCGATTTAGTTTTAGACAAATGCACTTTATGCATGCTAGAAATAAGGACCTCGTATCAGCAATGGAAGAAAATGCGTATTTTGCAAAAAGTAATTGTGTTGAATCAACGCTCTTTTTTAGCGTGACGATTTTCGCATAAACGTGTGTTTTATGGTAACGTAGGTAACATAATTTATTTCGAATTCCGCCATAGTACGAAAAAAACGACAACACAATGGACAAATACACGTGACGGAAATTCATCAGAGTTGCAAAAACTATTATATATACTCATTATTGAGTTTGACATTTTGCTCAGCACGTTTCTCACTTGGCATATTTGAACAAGTTTTAAATAATACCACCAAACGGAATAAAAAAAATATAGTGATGAAAGAAAGCTCCGGTTATTTGGTAAATTAAACATACTAGGCTATGCTATGCTGAATCAGAGATATATACATCGAACGCAGACTACATAATACAGTAGTTTAATCTTTGATGAATTCATAGCTTTCATTGCGCGCAAGTCGCCTTCTAGCTTTTGTGCAGTTCAAATAGTTTATAATGTATCCATAAGATAAATATGTATAAAATACATAACTATCGAAATAGAATATATAATTTTCGCTCTCCCCCGGTTGGAAAACGTTGACAAAATATAATCCTGAAGTACCTTGAAGAAAGTTGCAGAAGTTGAGTTACATGGAATAAAAAAATGAAATTTATATAATTTACGGACATCGATTAAATGAGAAAATTGAAAAAATTGAATGATGAAATACATGATACAATGATGCTTGGTTATAATGCCAGAACGCAACTAGAAAGTTTATGATTTGTTTACTTGTGCTTTGGTTCTTGGCGATTACTGTTGGTTTACAAGAGTCTCCGAGCATTTCACATAAAAATTTAGGATATCTTATAAGTTTGACTGATCGATTCTCATAACTGACATTTATTCGCTTCCGCAGCTATCCTGTTGTTAAAGCTTGGCTAACCGTTGAGTATGGATTAAACTTCAATTTGACACATAGAGAAATGTTATTGGGGGTAGGGCAAAATCAGGGTATAAACTGTGTTTTATTATGTGCCAGATATTTTATATACAAATGCAAACTGCGTAATGAAAGGCCTCAATTTTGCCAATTTTTATATATGATAAAAAATATTATAAACTGTGAAAAGATTATTGCAACTAAAAATGGTAAACTGTCAATCCATAATAAGAAGTGGAAAACTATTGTGTGCTCGTTTTTTTAAAATGCAATTGTATTTGTGCTAATGTGTCTATATAAATGTGTTGTGATAATGTGATGTTTTTATTAATAAAAAAAAAAAAAAAAAAAAAAAAAAAGCTATCCTGCCTTCGGTTTAATTGTTGTTGTTTATGTATTTTTGTGTCTGTTGCCTAATGATTAAATAATAGAAATAAATTTAATATTAGACATTCTGAACTCTAGAATCTAACTGCGAAACTTTTTTTTTAATAGTGGGAATAGTGACAAACAATGTGCGACTTTTATCCAAAAATCAAAACTTTACAAAACGTCGAGAATGAATTTCAATAAAAAACAATCCCATTGGTATTTTTTTCCTTTTAAATTTTTTTGTGGTTGTTTGCAGATTGCTGGTTAGCAAGATAGTCATAAGCTCATACGCTTCATACAGGTTTTTTGTTGGATCCCCTACTATGAAAACTAGATAAATTTACAACACCCATGCATGATGAAAATAAATATCCTACTGACCTACTGTATTGCTTGATTGAATGTCCTCCTTTCTGTGCTAGACTCTCTATTGTTCCTATTTGTTTCGTCATATTCAGTGTATAATTACCCCCTGAAGTTTAAACAAATGATTCCGACATATGTATGTTAATTATGAGTTTTTGATATCTTTTTTTATCAAACTATTTCGTTTTGTTATGCGTTAAACCGTAGTAGTATATATTTACGGTTAAACCTGACTATAGCGTCGCTGGTTGAATTCTCGGATTCTAATCCTATGACCCCCACCTCACCCAGGGTGTAATAAATTGAAGTGGCAATGGAACCGGAAAGATTCCGTCCTCTTGAATGAAGTAGGTTCTCATATATCAATGAATGTGTGTGCAAAGCCTTGTTCGAATCGGGATGAAAGGCGTATAAATACGCCGTATGAAAAGTTTCACTGAGTGTTGGTCATTGCCAAGTTTAGGGCTCGAGAAAATCTAAAATTTAAGGATTAGGATTTGCATATTTATCCCAGGGGAGAGGAAAGCCGATAAGATGGCGAACCACGGCCTCTCGTCTGGTTACCAGCAGTCTATGTCGGGTTCGGGATTACTGTAGTTATTTATTTGTTTTTTCGGAGGCATGGACTTGGTGGTGGAGGAAACCGTAACGGACCAGCGGTTACATGAACCACCCTACGGCAGCGAGAAGTCCAGCGATCCTCTCGCACATAACCATCCCGCATGGGATTCGAACCTGCGAACCCACGCAGAGTAATTGGAGGTGCGGTGGCGAGCGTATCCCTAACGCTTAGCGCGATGGGCCACACCGCTGCGCCTATTCCGTAAGATTTATTGTAAAGAGGTACCAATTGGCCATGTATATATACCCTACTTCCATTTTCACGCCGGAAACTGGGTCATGGACCTGTTATTGAATGACTACTGTTCATATAATGTAGATTCTGTTAAATTTTTAGGCAAATAAACATACATACATCATTGCTATTCGTACGGGCTGATTTCCTTGTAACAACAGGATTAATTCTATGACGGTGTGATAGAAACACGTTCTAATATGGATAGATTGGATAAACATATAATGAAGGAATAACGGATTCTCATTTTGATTGTTTGTGTTTGTATACACTTTGTGATTTTGTTCATAATTTATATCTCGTTAAAAAAAGAAACAAGACTGACTATGGACCTTTCCCCGACCTTTGACCCCAGAAAAATTCTTCCTATACTTTACCATTGCAAAATTTACGGGGCTTATTTTGAGAGTGGTTTCGCGAGTTGGCGCCTGTAAAATGGGGTATGTGTTTCAAATCATCATTATGATTTATCGCATGCAACAATCTGTTTTTCAAAAGTACCGGTAAAGAATTTTAGCTCAGTCTATCATAGCTATTTCTACACTAATTTTTTATTACTGCAATTAAATTAAAACTCCTAAGAAGACAGAGTGATCATTGAATTATCTGATTTATATTTAAATTTCCGAAACACAGCTGAAAACTAACGAATAGAGTTCAAAAACGCGAAAACGAGGTAATGTTTACGACCACGCCTGAAAATCTGTCTGAGTGAGAAAAGTGTCTGAGCGGATGCGAAAGGGGAGCATTGTTACGTCACTTTTTGCATCTTGCTTATTGGCCAATGTCATGAAGTAGACAAGGAAGTCGATGCTCGGGGAAAGGTCCATTGACTGAACAATTAATCTAACAGTCGACGATTTTCCAGAAGTCGCTCTTGATGTGGGTCTATTTTCTAGATTGCCGAATGAGGCGCAAGCATTTTATCCCCTGGGGTAACTAGGTAGCCGACGCGCGGGATTTTACTACGCAGTCTAGCATTAAAGCCCCAGGCGCTTTTTGCACGTTCCATTTCCACGTTTTATACACATCATCATTATCGAATCGAGATGGTGAATTTAAGCGGGCGGAGTTAAATTATTGACAGGTATATGATATTTGCGAGCTAAGAGTAGGAAGGCAGGCATACGCATGTGTATGCATTCATCCTATGTAGAAGTCACGATTGTGAGAGAGAGTGTGTTTATTAGTTTTGTGCATCAAAATAGAATTAAAATACATACACAGTACTTATAGTGCATGTAATGCTTCACACTTTGTAAACCATGTCTGAGTGTTATTGCTGTATTATTGCGGCACCAAAGATTGTCTGATTGTAAATACTGTACTAAGAGTATAGATATTGTATCGGCACAATGCAGTAGTCTAATGCAATTTTCTTTATTCTCTAATTTTTTGCAAAAAGATCTGATAGATAACAGTGTAATACTAGTACTTGTGGAGATTTCTTGTATTCATATATTATGCCTCGCAAACAAGCAGCCAAAACAACAGAGGGAAATGACATTGGAATAAAAAAATCACATAAGTCAAAATCTACCAGCAAAGATGCTAAATCAAATCGCAAGGAGCAAAAGTCTGCATCTCGAAACCCTTCGAAGGGATGGAACAACTGGATGATTATTGCTGTAATCATTTCATTATTTGTTGGATGGTTGCATGGCACTCACATTTCCACAATGTTTGAGAAAGATCGACATTTTTCTCATCTTTCATCTCTTGAGCGTGATCTTACTTTTCGAACGGAAATGGGACTGTATTACTCTTACTACAAAACTGTTATTCAAGGTAAAATTCCGAGCTAATATAATTGTATTTTTCATTATATGCTTTGATCGGGGAATAAATGTTGGAAAGACTTATTTTATCCTATATCAAAAACTATCTTAATAAACTTTAGGACAATCAAAAATACTGTTACGTCTCAAAGGTATGTTAGTGTAAAAATCACTTAAATAAAAATGAATGAATAGGCCTACCGAGTAAAAAATTAGTCACTGGATGGCCATATATTTCTATTCAATATTTTACTACAATTAAGAGATGCCTCACTGATGATACCGAAGTCAAACATACAATATTGTAATTTGTATCTACAGCACCTACTCTGATGGAAGGAGTATCAATGATTGTTTATGACAATATTACCGAATTTCCGAGCACAATAAACACATTGAAACGCTTCAATCTTTATCCTGAATTGATTCTTGGAGTCGCATACAGGATTTTCGATAGCATAACAAAAGCAAATAAGATTCGAACAATGGATTGCTGGACTGTGAGTATATAATTTTTATCATCAAATCCAAAAGACATTTCCAAAAAAGGATTTTATGAAGTGCTTAGCTTTGGCAAGATACATAATGGAAGTGCAGCAATGTAATACTGAGATTTATTTAGTCTTCAGTATCAAACACCCTTGAATCACAAGTTTCATACGTATTCAATAAGACAGTTTGGACCACTTTTTATTGATATTGTTAGAATAATTGAAACCATGTAAGGTAAACCATTGACTATCAGAAAATGCATTTTCTCGCTCTAGTTTTAAGTCTGATAAAATAAGAGGAAAATACTCTAGTACTAGTACTTAAGTGTTTGCATTATTAGTATCTGCTAAGCTAAAATTCACTTACCGTATTCTTTTGTCATAAATTTGTCAATCTTTTTTAGATAAATAGAGGTGAACTTCCACCTGTACAAAGTTGTGAAGGATTTGGCGATCAGCATTATTTTTACATCACGAATATATTCTTTCTTAATGGCATCATGCTTTCAATCTATTTTATGTATGGATGGTATCTGGCTGGAGAATCTCTTTGGGGAGGTATGTTCGTGAGTAGAAGTCTAAACCCTGGGTTGCGATTCAAGCCTGGTCACAGTTTATCATTGAGTTTGAAATTGAGTCTATTACTGACTCACTGGCGGTTGAGTATGAGTCTGAGTCATTTTTTAAATGACTCTAGTCACTTCAAGTCTGTGATGATTAGTGACTTGAGTGACTCGAGTCTAACTCGAGTAGAGTCAATGACTGGAGTTTAACTCGAGTAGAGTCAATGACTCGTGTTCAACTCGAGTAGAGTCAATGACTCGTGTTCAACTCGAGTAGGGTCAATGACTCATGTTTAACTCGAGAAGGGTAAATGACTGGAGTCCCCCAATACTGGTGTGTATTGTATGTATAAATTATGGAATGTTATATTTTATTTAACTTGATTATTGAAGTTCCTCAAATCAAGACAAAAACATAAAAGTTTATATATTATCCTCACAGGTGTTCTCTGTGTCGTTGCCTTATTTTTCAACCATGGTGAATGTACTCGGGTTATGTGGACACCTCCACTTAGAGAAAGCTATGCAATGCCCTTCTTGATTCTTGAAATGTTTTTGGTCACTCGCATGTTGAAATCTCCACACCCTTGTAAAAGGTTCGTAAAATTTTAATCTTGTATTTTGCATTTACGACTAAGTTTATCACATAAAAGGCTTTTAAAGCCATTTTACTTTATTGTAGAAAATTTTCAATTTTGCAGTTTTATATAATTATGCTTAGTTAATAACATTTGTCATTTGTCATAACATTTTTAGTAATATTATACACAAATATTCATTTGTATATGAGATGCTTAAATTTGGACTATACTTTCATTATTATCCTGTGTCAAACAATTTTTTCATTTGATTGAAATTATTGTTTTTTTGCAATCAAAATATATGTGCTTAATTTGCAGTCAGTCAATTTGGATTGGTCTTGCTGCATTCAGCTTTATGTTGCCATGGCAATTTGCACAGTTTGCTCTTCTCACACAAACCGCTGCTGTATATGCTCTTTATCTGCTGGAATTTATTGGTTCATACAAGGTACGTTATTGAATTTAAATTTGTCATCCTAGTCTACAGTAATAACGAATGTTAAAAATATTATCTTATAAACATTTATTTGCTATTTTGATCTTCATTTTTGATTATTTTTCATCTATTCAGATCAAGATCCTTCTCTATGCTCAAATTGCAGCACTTGGAGGCAATTTCGTATTTCAGTTTGGAAATGAGATGTTGCTTACATCATTCTATGCATCTAGCTTGGTAACAATTCTCTGTATTGTATTACTGGAGAGCAGAATTGAGAAGATTGTACAGAACTTTTTTGCCAAAGTGATTGTAAAGGTATATTAGCACTTAATTAGTTGTATGTTTACTTACTTTTCTGAAAGTTCTAGCCCAGGACCTTGGTCCCCCTGAAGGCCATGGAGCGATTCTCAGGGGCAGCAAGCAAAGGCCTTCACTTGGTGCCATTCGTGCTGAGTACAATAATTTGAATTACGATAGATTAACTGCGATCTTTTAAAATTGTTTGAGTGAAATGCAAGTATTCTTTTGCATTTGTTTTTGGCTTTTATTCTTGAGCATGGCGCCTAATATGTCTGATAGAAACATGTCAAAAAGCAAAAATAGATAATTTTATTTACATATGCTGGTTATGTGCTGGTTACATATGCTCGTTTACATGTGCTGGTTATGTGCGAGAGGATTGCTGGACTCCTCGCCGTCGTTGGGTGGTTCACGTAACCGCTGGTCGGTTACGGCTTCCTCCACCACCAAGTCCATGCTTCCGTAAACAAACAACACAGTAAAACTAATCCCATACCATTGGGATGGTAACCGGACGAGAGGCCGTGGTTCGCCATATGGATAAGCCGTCTTATCGGCTTTCCTCTCCCCCGGGATAAATATGTAAATCCTATCCTATCCTATCCTATTGAAATGCAGGGGGCCAATGTTGAGAGAGTTTTTGAAAGCGGGCCACAGATCATGAAAGATTGTGAACCACTGTTCTAGACTATATTCTTGATATGTCTGTCTATTCATTTTACCATTGAGTCTTCAGTGTAATTTTATTTCAATTATTTTCTACAGGGATTGACATGGGCCATCGGTACATTGGTACTGAAGAAAGCAATCGCAGCTGCACTCTTTATAGCAGATGACGCCCATATTTGGGACATTCTGAAGTCAAAATTCAGCACATTCAATAATTTCCATACAATGTTGTATACATGTGCAAAGTAAGTAATCATTTGTGGGACTCACATGTCATAGTTTGGCAGAGTTTTGTTTGTTCTCGATTGTGTTTTGATTTTTGGATAAGTCAGTCACATTAAATTAGTGAGCAAACTTGTTTATTGAGTTATATTAACGATGGCCAAATTTTGATATCGATTTCATGCACAAAGTATATTCGTATCATATGATACTTGCCAGTTCAGTTATGAAATTGTATATCAAAATAATCTGACTCTGTAATTACTCATGCTTCAGTCATTGGCCTTGTCTCAATTTCCATATGCAATGCACCCAGACTCAATAAACAGGTGATCGTATTACCAAACAACAGAGAAATACTGAGGAAGGAAGTGACTAGCTTTCAGCTAGTTTCCTTGTGAAAGTCAGATAGCTGCGATATTAACAATCTTCTTTTGAATTCGTATGAATATAGAATTGATATTTTATCGAAAAATATTTAATTAACAGCATTGTGAATGGTCTGTGAGACATCAAATCATTTTTTGAACAATTCCTCATTTAAATTCAGTGAAGATAATCACGTTGTAATCTGACCCCTTTTTTACTATGGATTGTAAGTTAGTAATGACAACTCAAAATACTGCTAGTTGAATAATTTGGGTTTGTTCTCCACAGGCAGTTTGCAATTTTTGATTATTGTATTTTAATTTATAGAGAATTTGACTTCATTGACTTGACTACCTTGTTTGGATTGGTAAAGACATTGCTAATTCCTGCCAATGTATTGATCTGTGTAATTGTTGCTGCAAAATGCTTAAGAAATGAATATGAAGCCTATCAGGTGAGTGGTAAATTTAAGTTACTTTCATAGATGGTAGTAAAATTATCAAATTGAAATGAGTAAATAAAAATTATTGCATAGAAATCTTTTCACTGACATATCTCGATTTTTGTAATATATTGTCCTAGGTTTACACTGTTGAGATGACGTGGTAATTTGAAAAAAAATGCAACATTAATGGTATTATACATTTAAATACATTCTGTAGAAAATTGTCCAGTAATTAGAAAAACCTACCATTGTCTTAAAAAAATCTGTGATCATGAAAGAAAAAACCCTTCATTAGTTACCAAGGATTTATTTTAGCTCATATTATATATTTATATAAATAAAATTTGTTCAAGGCGAAAAAGGCAGCTGATTCTGATAATACAAATGAAGAGAATTCTGAATCAACAGAAGAAGACACAAAACCCGTCAAAAGAATTCCTCCAAGACGTCAGAAAAAAATGGCAGCTGCTGCTGTGGCCGAAGAAGAATCTCAAGTCGCTTTCAGGTGAGTCAATACAAAGTTGAATGAAACAGAATTTGAGAAAATTATCGCAACTTTCTAATGTTCCATCCACATATTTTTTGAATAAAACATACTTTCGCCTTACTATCTGTTATTTGTAGCTTATTGTTAGCTAGTTATTTTTAGGGTGGGGCGCGAGACGTGACAAATTCTATAAAGGGGGTGCTGCGTGACTTAAAAAGTTTGAGAACCACTGTGCTTAACTGAGCAGGGTGACAATGATCAGTTACATTTAAATTGCTGATGATTCTTTCTTATGCTTGTTATATGTATACAATGATATTTATGCATTGATTATATTGACTGTGACTCTTCTATAAAACTGCACCCTGTATTTCATAGACTTTATATTTTCTGTATAAAACTTTGTGTGATATGCCCACATCTACCCAGGTTCTGTGATGATATGCTAATGAACAATATATTATATCAATGCCTGGACTTATTTTTTTTCTTTATAATTTACAAAATCTACAATTGTCGTAATTTTTAAAGCTGAATAATACTAATCCTATTTCAGATCCAAACCCCATGCTGAAATTGTCTACAATATTTTGCAAATGTTTGCATTCACATTGATGGCCATTATGATCATGAGATTAAAATTGTTCATGACTCCTGTTATGTGCATAGTTATGTCCATCCTTGCAAACAGGTAAGTCAATTTGGATATTACTCTTTGGTGTTTGCCAGACACTTTAAAACATGCACAATATTGTGATATATGCTCACTTTAGGAACCTGAGCGTGTGGCAGGGAGAACCGTTGTCACCATTTTTTGTTTTGTTATATACATATCTTGTGTTGTAGCTAATTTCAACTAAATTTTTACTACAAGTTTGGATTACTGAAGACTCCATACTTCTGCACTTTTGCATATATATGTATCTATTGCAAGGATGCTTTAACAACTATAAATATGGTTATTCCAAGTGATTTAAGAGTCTTGCGGTCTAACACAAATGTATTTTTGTAGTTTACTAAATATACAGATATTGTATATACATTTGTCTAGATGGTTTTTACTTTTGTCCTCACCAAATTAATCCCATTTTATAGGCTTATTTCATATCAATCATGTGTTATGTACATTTGGTTACTCTTGCAGGCAAATATTAACAGTTTCCCGACCAAAACGTGATGCTTTTTTGGTAGTTTTACTTGCAATGTCTTGTGTACAAGGATTTCAAAATCTTGCCAAGCAGTGGAATATTATTGGAGAATTTGAAAACTGGCCTCATGAGCAGGTAAATCTTTGAAAGTTTGAAAATGTAATATTGATTTCTTCACTTCACTTCACTTCATGTTTAATAATTGTCCCCAGCAACTCGCCAATTTCTTTCGCTGTGACCTGTGAATCTCAACCAAATTTACCAGAATTATTTTATTCTCTATTATTGATATCAGCCCATTGACCAATTTTTTAGTTTAACATTTTTATACTTTGTATTTTATTTTATACCCCCATCGCTTAAACATGCTATGTTGAGTTAATATTACTTTACAATTGTATGATTTAATTGTTAGTAATTTCTATTTTATGGCTTTCATTTACCTCTTGTAATAGCTTTAATGTATCTTTTAGTCATTCATAAATTTGAACTCGAGACCTCAATTCCATAATTCAGTTTTTACTCCTCTTTCAGCTCCTTGATCATATCAACATGCATTTACCGAAAGAAGCAGTTTTTGCTGGTGCCATGCCAACTATGGCCAGTATTAAATTATCTTGCGACCGTGCTATTGTTAATCATCCCCACTATGAAGATGCAGGTAAGCTTTTGCTTGTTAATTGTATTGTATCTTTTTACTGACATTTAATATTATGATGTGTCTTGGATATATAAAGCGTTTTAACTAGATAGGGTGTTACATCTTTTAACAGTCAATTTTATGCCCAAACTATTTCTGACCTTTATTTACTGAGCATTTCTATGCTACATTGCTTGTGAAAATATTTTTCATTTATATTTTTTTGGGGAGAGTCTGTTTGGTTCTGCTTTTAACTTTAACTGGTTGGAATCTCACTGCAATCGCTCATGCTACCATAACTCTATTTGATTTCAGTATCTGTTTGCATCTTAATTTTCGCTTGCAACTTTGCTCATAGATGAGTTTCTTTACTTCCAGTGGGTGCCTTGTGGCATTACTTTGTGTAAATCTTCCATTCAATTCTTCTGTTTTTTCCCAGGTCTTAGAGAAAGAACAAAGAAAGTATATTCAATGTACAGCCGTCGTCCACTGAGTGTTGTACATCAAACCATAACTGATATGGGAGTCACACACTTTGTACTTGAGGATTCATGGTGCGTTAGAAAAACACGCGATGGATGCCAAATGCCTGAGATATGGGATTTAGAAGACGTTGAGTTCAGGGTAAGAAAATTTTTTTAATGTCTGTTTTTTAAATTTTTTATATAATATGTTTGATGTAATCTGTTTTGGATTCTTGATGCTTTGTAGTGAATGTATAGTTTATTGAACTATCTACAATTAGAAAATTTTATCTTTATGTTAGTGCATGTTCTTGTGCATGTTCAAAATTTGGATGTGTTTAGGTTTGAGATTTTTTGTTGCCATATTTAAATTAAAAATCAATCACCAATAAATAATCCATCTGTGAATAGGATGTGTGGTTCATGATCTGCAATCTTCAGAAAAAAAGGCTTCGTCGTTTACTTGTTCCTAAATATTTATTTCAGTTGTTTGAACCACTTATTTGTTCGGTCATTTATTGCCACATATTGCTCTATTTATGATTTTTTTGTTTCACAGGGTCGAAAACCAGCTTGTGCTGTTGCGAGAAAAAATCCGGAGCCATATTTCACAGAAGTGTTCAAGAACAAAGTTTATACGTTACTGAAAGTCAATGAGGTCAAAGGCAAAAAGAACTAGTACTAACTATTGCACATCTGTAGCATTTCTGTGGCTTTTCGATATTAGATTACCGGTAACAGATCACGTTTGGTAGTTTTAAAATTCATTGTATGTAATTTAGTTGATTTGTATTGTAACTTCCATGAGACAAACGTACTACCTAATACAACTTGTAGCATATATTTTCAAAATTCATTTTCTGGTACTCTCACCGCTTGAAGCACATTTTGCGGTGTATATAAACTTCTTTATACATGCAGTATATATATATATATATTTAAATATAGTTCATTAAATTTGTTTTGGTAGTCGGTGGCTCTAATTGAAATATTAATTGGTGTAATTAAGTTCAAATTGATCAGAAAATATTAAATAAATTTACACACTTTAATGCATATTGAGCTATTGTACTCATTAGAATGTGAAGGCATTCAATAGTAACAGTGGGGACAGAGATATCATTATGATGACTTTGTGAGTAAAAATTTGCACATTTCGTTTACTGCCTATGTCTCGGTTTGAGTAGTATGCAAAATAACATAGAAAGTTCTGAGAGGTAAACCCCAATACTCCTTTTCGGAGCATAATAAGTATATATTTTGGCCATTTTTTATCCTGTTGCGGATATATAGAGCTCAACTGATGTTAGCAAAGCTAGCTTTGGCCGAGGTCTATATATACGCAACAAAAATATACCTGGTGGCAATCATGCGTCATTTTTCTCCTATCAGCTATCGTGCCTTGTATCCGCAATAACCTACAACAAAATGTGCACATGACAAATGCAATGCAGATTCTTTATATTACTGATGCTTTTCTTGCCTTATTTGTGGCGCTGTGCTATACTATATCAATCATCATTTGGGGTGTACTTCCCCAATTCCGGAAAACTATACAGCAACATCCAACTTTATATTGCCTTTTTCCAGCTATGTGCATTATGTGAATGAATCATACCTTATTATTCTCTTGCAAATATTTTTGTTCAATTGTTAATGTTTATGTTGAGATTTTTCACCAGTTTGTTACACTTTAAATATTAACTTGTTTTGAATAGCCAAAGAGATTGCCTTGCACCAAAGTGCCTGATTATCTAGTTTCATAGTGGTGTGCGGTGTGTTGAAACATGTAATCTTAATCTTCTGACAAATGTTCAATTTCGTTCAATAAACTTTTGTCTTTGGAAATATTTTGTTATATGGTATTTTGGTTTTGCTTTGGAGTTTGTACCAAAGTAATCACAGATGCGAGAGGGATAATAGACAACCGGCATGGAACATGACTGTAGTGTTATTGTTAGGAAGGCATTGACCACGGGACACAACCATTAGCATTGAAAGAGCCATTTGGAATCCTTTTAATCAAACAGAAAGCTACTCGGAGCCACAAAATCTACTTTAAATGTCATAGACTACTGAAACTCCCGGAAAACTGATACATACAATAATCTAGTTCTTACTAAGAAAAAGCCATGGTGCAATAGTTTAGTTTTTCATGACGAAGAACCTGAAAGAGTGTGTTTTGATAGACTTCAATCATTTTAAATGTGAACCATTTTTACTGTTCACCTATTATACTTAGTGAACCGCTGTGATATGTAATTGGTGAAAAGTATTTGCTTTTATGCCTCTCTTTTTATTGAATGCTCCCGGCTTCTAACAAAAAAAAACTGCTGTAACCACTTTGATTATCGAGAGCCAAAACTGCGAGAACAAAGAGCCGCAAGTTGCCAATCGCTGGGCTAGACCTGTTGATAGTACAAGTCTGGTTCATTAAATAGCACATGTTTCGAAGCCCGGATGTCAAACAGACTTCCCCGAAACACTAGTGATCCTAGATTACAGCATCAGGGAGACTAGTTATCAGTTCAGTTTAGACTAGACTATTTAGGCCGACTACTTAAACTGTGGCGATGCCAAGGTTTTAAGGTCCATTATATTATTACTCATCTTTTCTTTTCACATCAGGGAATTGTATTCACCACTCTATATTGTTAGCTCTTTGTTGTTGTTTAAGAGAAGTCATCATGTTGTATTTATCATATGAATAAACACTTTTAGGAAAAGCTTAGTGAAAATTGAAAAAGAAGTTTGAGAAAGGTTGTTGTTTGCTCCTGTTTGTATAGCTGAACAAGCGAGCCTTGCTTACATACTACACATATATGTAGATTGTGATTTATTTCCATTGTTTAGTCGGCATCGAGTAAAATACCACCAGGCATAATTACCACAAACACAATTAATGTAAACTGCTAACAAATCCATAAAATGACCAAACTTATATACAAAAAAGGGAAGAAAGAAGCGAAGAGAAAATATATATGTACAGAAAGTTATATAAGCCAAGAGCTCAGTATGTATGCAAAGATTGCCATGCAGTGAAAGCCGAACGGACACCATCAAGTGAGAGAGAAGAAAGATAATTCATAAAAACATCACAAATGATAGAATTTTTTCCCCATTTTGTAGATCTGTATGCAAATGTTTCAGATGCATGCAGAAGCAACCAGTCTGTGATGGTGACTTCAAATCCTGAGTTAGAATGATGTTGTGAATTCTCACTATTTTTTTCATTCATTGTCTGAAATGGAAGGGAAATATCACTAACAAATACATGTTAAAATTCAAATACTTCATTGTTATCAAACTAATACAAATATAAAGAAACTGCCAATTAGAATGAACAGTTTAGTACTTAATTGGTCTATCATGGTACAGGACCTTATATCAAACTAAGAACCGACAAAACACGTCAATGATGCAGAGGATCACGGTAAATGGGATAGACTAGCTATTGTGTGCATATGGACAAGAAAAGATTGCTAACAAGTGACAGTGTATATGATGTTCATTTAACAAATTCTTGTTGTCACATCACTTCTATAGCTAAAATTATGTACACACAGTCTTTGAATTTCATAATTGACTTGGAAATTTCGACCATATAGAAGAAAGCTCCTCGTCTACAATCGTAGGAGAATGGTCAACCTAATATATTGTATAAATTTTGATCTGGAATAAAAAGATTAGAAAAAAAACAAAACAAACCTCAAAGATAGGTCCAAACAATTCCAGATGGAGAACACTGGCAGCAACTGTGCAAGACATTCTCTGTTAAAACAAGATTAATAAAATAAAAATTTTGTAAATATATGAACATTTATAATCATTTCCATTCCCTACTGCCCTTTATACACGAAGTATTGATATAATAAATTTCGAATCTAAACTAAACTTCGAGCAACCAGTCCTTGTACGGATATCAAGTATTTCTTTAGTCTACTATCTGTATATCAGGTTACCTCCTTAGGGTTTTCCATTAACATCATTTGTATCAATTCTTTCATAAACAAGATTCTTCTGTTGTCATCGTTTACCGCAATATCATCGTATAGGTTTTTCCCTAATATCAACAAAAATTGATTCGAATTAGGCAAGTACCGGTAATTAGAAAAATGATGAAATTTCAAATATTTATATCCTTACTTTCTATCCCAAATATCTCACATAACAATAGTCCAGCAGCCCATGCATCTGATTTTCCATAATCTAACACGGATGTAGAGCCAGGCTGGCATTTGGAAATCTGAAAATTAAAAACTTGATAGAACATGATATTCATCAACTATTAACTTAATTATACTTAACTCTACCTAGTTGTATATATACAACATTTTTCTTTCTATTCACTGTCCTGATAAATTTTGTCTGTATAGATCTGACATGGGCAAACTACAGCATGCGGGCCAAATTCGGACCACTTGGATAATTCAATTTGGCCCGCCTGATACTGCCACAACCAAACTGAAACCAAATTTTGATGTTTCAACTAAAAAAAAAGCTTAAGGGATTTGTTGAGGTTGTGATTAAATTTAGTTTTGGCACGGGGCTTATTGTTTTCCACTTTTGCTTTTGTGAATATTGTTCATAATTGTTCACTGTAAATATTGTTTATAATATGCAACTTTTTACGTTACACTTAAAGGGCCCCCCAATCTATGTGAGCGAAATTTTTAGCCCTTGGTCCAAAAGCCCTGCCCACCCCTAGTATAGACCTTCGAAACGCTGACTAAACCAGTCGTTCCCAAACGAAGGTATTTTTGACAGTCTGAGAGAGAATTCGATGTTTTTCTGTCGGCGAAACCCCTTCATGGAAACTACAAAGCGGCGTTATAATGCGTGTTAAGTGTTAATAGTCCTGCAAAATCTAGGCGCAGTGTAATCTCACTTTTTGTGTGTGCAATTTTTGAAGTTTTGATTGAATTTTGATTTTGAGTATGTCGGTACACTACCTATGTGTTTGCTTTTCAATACGTTGATATTTCATGGTCTTGTGATCAAATTTAGAGAATTATCAAAATACCTCTGGTGGTTGTACATATGGATTTCCATCTCTGATGTCATACTCTGAAGATGGGAAAGGAAATATCATATCTTCTTTCAACTCAGGTACAAAACTGCAGCCAAAATCACCAATGATCAATCTTGGAAGACGATCTATACAACAAATATGCTTGTTTTAAATAATCTGTTATTTAATCATTTTTATTTAATCATTTAATCATTTTGTAAATTAATATGATACTGAATTTAATAAAGGTGTGAAATTGTATGCATGCTCTCTCAGATAAATAACAGATGAAATGAACAGTATTTATATAATTGGGCAAAGACACATTACCAAACAATGTAACAAAGACAATCAATTAACGAAAATGAAAGCTGTTGATTCCAGTTCGCGTATTCAATAAACTAGGACTTCGATGTGTTTTAAACTTGCATAATCGTAAATCATACGGAGAAACTTTGCAAAATCAAAATTAGTAATCTTCCATTTACTTACTTGAATCGTGTTCAACTAAGATGTTATTTGACTTTAGATCACGATGAGCAACATTATTTCTTTCCAAATGTGAAATTCCTTGCAACAGCTGCAAAGCCAGTAGATACTTTGTTTGAAATGATAGAGACGTTTTGTTCAAATATTCCTCCAATGTACATTCATATCTGAAAGAAGATTTTCAATAAGGCAAAGCACTAAGCAACGAAATAATGGAAGGGCAACTAGCAATTTATCTGAACAAACCCATAATAACATATAATTGTTATGATTATTTTCTGTCTAATATGATATTTTGGGTCAAGGTTAATAAAACACTATTATTAGTGATTTTATGTTATTATATATATAAACCAAAGAATAAAAAATTTACAAATGGTAAAAAACTATTTAAGATAGCAAAATCTCACTGTGAAACAATAGAGTGATGCTCAAATGTATGGGCATGAATGTCAAATGAAATATATGGCCAACACAATGTCAGCAAAATTCTAGACAAATGTTAGAACAATTTAATAAATATGAGTTTTAAAAGAAGCCAAATTTCAGGTAAATATTGGTACCATAAGTAAAAATTAAAAAAAAAGTTATTTCATCTACGAGTATAGAAAATTTAAACAGATTGTTCCAATAGTTTCAGGGAAAAGCAATTTTTCACATTTTCTATGAAAACAACGCCAACAGGAACAAAAACAACAATTTAGCAAAACAACACTTTGGCAACAATATTTATCATACAGTTTCCTCCGAAACAAAAGAAATTACCTTTTCATGATCAAAAACATTGTTGATGTTCTGCCAAATCCAACAGGCCATGCTAAAGAAGAGGGATGCCTAGTTCTGAATTCTGAATGCTCAGGAACCTTATCAATGATAGCCTGATGCACTGCCATGATGTTAGGATGTGATGGAAGACGTTTCATCCTTGCACGATTGCTAAGAAATAATCCCATAACATAACTACTTACTTCTTACTGGATACAGATTTATTAATTTATAACTAGGGCTGGGCATTTTTGAATATCTGATGATTTCAGAATCAAATGGAATATTTTTTTTCGAATCGAATCTCGAATAGGCCTACTTGAAGATATGTGATTTTATGTGACTTTTTTATTGTAATCAATAATTTATTGTATCAATAATTACTGAAATTACAGAATCCGAGAGTTCGCTGAGAGTTCACACACGATATGAGAACAAGTTTCATCCATAACTCACTGGGAAAAAAGCGTCATATGTCAGAATTGCGTAAAAAAATATGGCTCCAATAAAAATAACAGCGGGATTCAACCTTCGGTTCATCTTCGGTCAACATAAACAAAACAAGATGGCGACAATTCAAAATTTTCGTCTGAACCGATTCAAATAATTTGAATATTCAATGCGAAATGCCCAGCCCTATTTATAACAAATGCAGGAGAAATCTTGTGCAAATAAGTATAACTTGTGGTTGCGAAGGTATCGCAGTTGAAGCGTTAGATCAACTGTTATCCCTATCTCATCTAGGGTGTAATAAATTGGGTAGGCAATGATGAACCGGAAACATTCCAGTCCCAAGATAGTAGCATGTCACATATCGTTTGCTGTCAGTGGCAGATTGTTCAGAACAAAAGAAATGAATAAGCATTGTTAATGAAAGGAATAGAGGCAAAAAAATCTATCACTATGCTAACTAGTACAAAGTACACTACAGTTTTTAATTTGTACTGCAATTTAAATTATTAAATTTATTGTTCCTAAACTGTATTCATGGTCATAAGCCAGATAAACTTGATTTTTAATCATTAAAGCAATAGAAAGTAGATAAAATCATTGAATCAGGAAAAAGCACATTTTTGCTATAATGCTATAATTAGAAACAATTTGAGAGAAAGGAAGAATGAAAATTTTAGTAGAGTACCCGTTTTGCCAATCTTTTGACAGGCTGGCAAGTGCACCTCTCCCACAGGTAATTAATTCTGATCTTGTTTGTCTGAAAATCCTTTGAGAATCGGACGAATCATAATTAAAAATCATCTTCACAGCAAATTCCTTCTTTGATTCTGCATAATATTATAAAAATTGTTGGAGTTTTTTTTTTTCATTTTTAAAACATGGCTGACTACTAGTCAGTTATATTTTCCTACATTACGATCATTGATATGAAAGGTTAACAAACTTACGAAGCCGGTAAAGAGGTTGACTATTATTTACAGAGCCCACAATAAATTTTTGGTTTTTCTCACAGAGATTGAGCACTTTGAGAACCTATTTGCTATTTTATTGGCTTTCCACTCAGCCAGGATAGGTATTAACATCCTATCTCAACCTTTTTATTATATGATACCGGACTAAAAAATGTTTCCACTTACTTGTTTTCTTAACTTGTTGCTTCGATTTTCTGATATTTGAAGTTTTCTTGATACTTGTGGGTGTATTATTTTTGTCATCACGGATTACATTCTCAGAAACATCATTAACCTGCATAATAATTTTCAAGATCTTTATATACAAGAGCTGTTATATTTATTTTTGAGTAGCTGAACGCCCAAGTTCGCGCATTACAGAAATTGCCATAACCAGATTAATTTACTATCCCAAAATATTTTGTAAGACAATACTTTGCCACATATTCCTAAATGGGTCATGTCTAGCCCCTATTCAAGGAGTTTAAATTTGAAAATCCCGGTATTCCATGATAAAACAGAATAACTAGTTTACAGATCATTTTACAAGTTTTGAAAATGACATCAGGGCCTGTTTGGTCATACTGTGACTCTGCGAGACCTCAAATGGTCAAAATGATTATTTTTCAGAGGAGAATAATTCTAAATTGTTCATCAATCAATAACCTCTGCTCCATAAACTGCTCCATTACAGCCGACTGCAATACATTTTCCAAGTTTGAAATCACTTATCCTTCCGCTTAATTTTGGCAACAATCTGATATTTTCATCCTGGTATTTACAGTCTGCAAAGATATCCTGCGAACATATAAAGTATATGTTAGATAACAGAAGGCAACGGAAAAAAAAAATCAGATTTTTTGACAAACAAACCAATTTCAGTTCTTACCACACCTTAACGATGTTTCTATTAATCATTAATGAATGAAAACTATGAACATGAACTTGTGTAATTAGGATCATAAAAGCACAAAACTCAAATGAAAATGTGATCCTAAAAAAACAAAACTATGTGAAAATATTATACTTGTGTGAAAATAAGCACACAAAAAACTTCCAAGAAGTGAAATTATAAAAAGAAGAATTTTCAAACTTATGTGAAAATAAGATCACAAACAAACTCCTAAACTCATGAAAAATATGATCAAAAACACACAAAACTCCAAAAGTTATTTGAAAATTTAATTATAAAACACATCCCCAATTAATGCTATATAACATGAAATACACCTTAATTCCAGCACACAATCTTGTCAAATCATCCATCCTTTTATGATAAGCATTCTCTTCCTCCATATTTTCTTCGTGTGCTAGAAATAAAGCTGCAAATCCAAACAGGTGACCAGTACGAAGACGACGCCAGAGAAAATCCCTGTTGAAGGGACCTGCTCTCCCATTCATCATCCCACCTCTGACTGACATTTGCTGTTGTATTCTCGCGGCATATCCTGGCAAAACAGCACAGATTTATAGACTTGGCTATAATAGAATTATACAGGGTGTCCATAAAGTCATTTTACATGAAGTCAGTTCTCGATATATCTCAATCAGGTTTGTTTTTTATTCAGAAATTGTTTTAAAAGTATTTTTACTTCATTTAATACCTCTGTGAGGGCCAAAACAATATAAGGTATCGATAAATTCCCTTTGCAATTTAAAAAAATTTCAAGACTTCATGGACAGAGAATACTGTAGATTTTGAACTAAAGATCAATGAAATAACTAATCTAGAGTCTACAAATCAGCTAAGTATGATAGTTTAAAATTCAAAACAATGATTAGTCAAGGCTGAAAAAATGTTGCATTGTAGTTGTAGTACAAAACTAACCAGAAATAGTGGTTTTATATCCTTTCAAGATCTGCTGCCTGGATACATTACTTGTAACATCAACAATCTGAGACAGCTCGGCGGTACTTTCTGGAATTTGCTTTCTGATGGCTGAAATACATTTTGGAAAAGACAGTTATGTATGAACAGTACAGCTAACAGTTCAATAAAACATGAAAGCTGATAACATTCATAGTTCGAGAATGTCTCGTTTATTTTTATTCATATACGCTGATATGCCGATGCCATCCCAAGAGCCATCACTAACATTTTGCTTTACCTACTTATTATAACACTCGGGAAGAGTTTATATTTTATAAGGTAGTTTTCAATCATTTATCAATAGAAAACAAAAACAGAAAACTTACTTTTGAAATAAGCATCTTGAAGTGTTTTTTTCACTCGCTGGAACTTTTCCCATATAGTTGTAGTGGGTCCCCTACCCCAAAAATGGGGTTGAGTCTTCACAAAATAATTCGCAATCCTCACCATGTTTTACAGTATCGTCCTATCAATCCACAACACTCCCTAGTCAGGTTTTGTTCACCAGACTAGGGATGTGAATTTGTGTATATTTTAAACAACTCCAAAACTAAAGTAAATCAAATAAGAGCATTAGTCAAAAAAGCATCAGTATAATAATGTATGCAATACAAGCAGTAGTGCATAAATTCAGAACCCAATAGTTCAACTGCATTACTTCAAAAACAAAAAAGTACTGCATATGTTTCTACATTATTTAAACAAAAAATGTTACAAGATTACAACACGTAAAGGCTGATTCAACTTCTATTAAAAATGAAATCGACTAACCAAAAACATTACTACATGACAATGCTAAGTTATGCCACAATATAACTATTTTGATACTCTAATACTGAGCACCCAATCTGTCATAATTTGGTTAAGACTACTTTTATGAGCATGACATGAGTCAGGAATGCCAAACCTTTTTCTACTGAATAGGTATGGCATTATACTTTTATAATGATAAAGAAAACGAATGAACGGGCCATTGATTTTATGAATGTCAACATCAATGAGAAACATAGTGGTGCATTATTTCAATTATCGCCGGTGCTGCTTTACACATACAGCACTCATAAAATTAACTAATTAAGCCTAACCTTACTACAAATTTTTTATCAGTGGAGTATTCAAAAACATGGCGGGCCACACTAGTCCGCCATCTCTGGCATAGGCACTCATACCTCAGACAAATACTCATTAAACATTTTTTCATTAGAAGCGGCAAAACAGTAATGTATAAAGTACCAATTTGTCCGAGCAGAACTTCTTAGTTTATGGTAGAAAGAGAGCTTTAAAGCAAGAACCCCCAAAAAAATAATTTTCAGTTAAAGAACCAAATATAATCAAGAAATCGATTTTTCTACCGAATATCAAAATTATTTATAAAGCAAAAATGGAGCATGTATGAAAAAATACCAAATTCAAATTGCCTTATAGTTAATAATGAATAGGGTCCTAAATTTTTTCTGAAAATGCATGCTGTCCTCGGTTTTAATTAGAAAAATAATCTGTGACCTTAACAGATAGGGTTTCTCCTTTCCTAGAGTTTATAATACTTGGCGAAATATATGAAGTATCATAATGATAAAAAGCATGCACCGTGGTAAAAACGTAAGAAAAAATCGACTAGTTCAGTCAGACTTGGCAATTATAATATTTGTAACTACACAATGCAGATATAAGTGAGCATAAAATATTCCTACCATTCAGTGGATATAAAGTGCAATGTTATAAAACAATAGGAAATTGTGCAATAGTGTAAACTACAGAAAAAAAAGCACCAAAGAATACTAAATATTGCAAACAGGATGATATAAGCTAAGGTATAATTATGATTGAAGAATATGTCAGACATATTCCTAATTTTGAACAGATTCTCAAAATACTGGACATTAAGAAAACGAATAAACCATGATTGTACCATATAATATAACCCTTTTGTACTTGCAACTGTTGTTTAAAAAATTATGTGTAAAATACCTCAAAAATAAAATGTAAAATCAAATAAAAAATTGTGTAAATAGGCTAACGGTAGGCAAAAACAAAAATAATATTTGGTATTTTGAATAATAAGTATATGACAATTTAGTTGACTTCAGCTTTAAAAAAAAATATGAATGTAAATTGATAAGTAAACTAATACTTGGTTACGTTTTGAAATCTGTCTAATAGGCAGTGGTTTACCTATTAGAAAACATGATGCACAAAGTTTGTAAATTATGGCAATCAAGTGCTTGCAATTTTATTACACAATTCACTCAAATATAGGTCTATATATATATATAAACTTACAAAAATAACCCAAACAAAATATTTAATTTGTTTTACAAGCATATGAAGTATTATTAACAAAACAGGAAAAATAATAAGCATCTGTTGCCAAATATAGCAGTAATTCAACGACATTTTTTCACTGAAAAACCAAGATTGTTCAAATAGTTGATATTGCTTGAAAAAGCGAGCTTACTAGTTACTACAAACCAGGACTAACAACATTTAAAAATCAATGAAACAGAATAAAAGTGCATTCATCCCACAAGCTGCTATACTGCATTGTAAAATACAAAGTGTGCATTATTTTTGTAAAATAAAAATAAGACGTCGGCTAGGTTTGACATACAGCAACGATGATTCAATAGTGGTGGTATTCAATATGTAAAATTTCTTAATGTGCCAACAATATATAACGGTCATACAAACAAATGATATAATGAACAATTACTGTGATAAAATGAAAGATTAATAATTGAAGACTAAAACCATTACAGGCTTAAAATTTCTTCCTTGATTGCTGGCCAGTTTTAGACGATGGGATTCCGCTTTTCCGGGGAGTAGAACTCGAGTCATCTTGCTTTATTTCCTCAGTTTTCTTGCTCGCTTGACCCAATTCCACCTTTCTTACTCTTTGAGCAAATGATAATGAACACAAAGTCTCACTCACATTTTTCTCCACAGGAGCGACTTGAACCACCATCAATGTTTTACTGTCTTTACTTAGCGAATCTTGAAGCAAGTAAGTCAATTTAGAATTTCTAAATGGAACGTGAGCTTGTCTTCCTCCCAATGCATGAATTACATCACCGAGAGCTGAGAGACTTTTGTTGATATTTTGGGCTTCCTTCAATCGGTCACCAGAAGCACCAGATTTGGATACCCTTTCTGAACCTGCCAAATCTATCAAATTTAGCTTCCCAAAGCTTCTAACGGCGGTCGTTTCATTGGTACCTTCCACATATACCATAAGTACAGCATGAGAACGAGAACTATGTTCATTCATATTTGTTGAAGCTGTTTTTCGATTGGTATGCCCAAGTTTAAACAATGCATTCACGTCATCAATGTTTTTAACTTTTTTACAAGTTAATCCAGGAACATATAAGCCGCCATCACCGTTCATTTTAATTTCCAGTTTTTCTGTAGTTGGTTTTAGATTCAGTAAATCCTTTAAAGTTTCATTGTAAATTTCTACCAAAGAAACTGACACTTCAAATTTCCATTCTCCTCTTCTTTCCTCAATGTCTTGAAATAAATCACTAAGAGCTCTTTGATTGATTCCCGGGTCAGATGTTGGCCCTTCCATCGTGTATGTCTTACCAGAGCCAGTTTGACCATATGCAAAAATACAGACATGATACCCGTCGATGCATGATGTAACCAATGATCGAACTTCAGAATAAACTTCAGGTTGAGTTGAAGTTGGTTGGAAAACTTTATCCAGCTCGAAAAGTTGACTTCTTCCTCTTTGAGAATTATGTACAAATATCATACCATCATCATCATGATCATACGTTACAGCATTCTTAGCTTGATTACCAGACCCGTCCTCGGATATTGTTGGTCTCACTCTAACAAACACCCTAATATTACCTTTTAGTTCAACCAGTTCATTGTGGTATTTCTTTCTCAAGTTCATTTCTTTTTTATATCTTCTGATTAATTCTTTGCTGTTTTCACTGATTTCAGCAATAGCATCGCAAATTTTTTTCTCAGTGTGTCTCATCACTTCCTCAATTATCAATGGAAATTTAGAGCACTCTTTTTTTATATGATTATTTTCCTTTACCAAAATATGTACAGTAGAAAGCAGATGCCTCAAAGAACATTGAACTTTATAAAGTTTTGTGCTGACATTGTGCAAATCATTACTTGCAGACGATTTGATATCATTAAGAACAGAATCATGATTTTCTTGTAATTCATTAAGCTTTCTTTGTGTTTCTCTTCTTTCGTTTGCAATTTCCTGATCAAGTTTATAGCATTGTTGCTTCATTTGTTCCTCTTTGTCGTCAGCGTCCTTTAATTTTCGTTCATATTCTGATACAATATCATTCATCTGTTTCAACCTATGTTCCAGTTTTGATTTGTCACTTTTCAGTGTAGATAACTCAACAATTGCCACATCAGATGCTCCACTGAGATCATTAATTTGTGATTGCAGATTTTCACTCATATCATTAGCAGAAACGAGTTTCTGTTGAACAGAAAATAATTGTTGCTGTTCTTTTTTCAGTACAGAATTTATCTCATGTAATTCAGTTTGAAGCGAAGTGACTGAATCTTCTTTGGTTTCCAAATCGTTTGACAAGGACTCAATCTTTGACGATTTTTCATTTAGTTTTGTATTTAATTCCTGAATTGTGTGTTTTGATTTCTTCAATTTCTCCTCAGTTCGTAACACTTTACTTTCCAATCGTTCAACGTCTTTATCAAACTCCTGTTTTTGTTTCTCTGCAGCGTCATTTCCCTCATCAAGTTCCTTTGTTAAATCGTCTTTTTGCTGCAGCATTTTCTTTTTCAAAGCCTCAATTTCAAACATATTTTCATCACGATTCTTCCTCGAAGACGCTTTCAGTTCTTGCATTTCTTGTTCCAAGTTTACAAATTTTTCTTTCTCTTTTGTCACACTTTTCTTTAATTTATCATGACTTTTCTTTTCAGAAGAAAGTTCTGCTTCAATCCTCCTTATTTCATCTTGCAGTTTAGATTGTTCATCAAGATATTGAGAACTAGCTTCATTAGCATCAGATTTGAGCTGACTCATTTCCAATTGGTATTTACTCAGCTGATCTCTCAAACGTGTTACTTCATTCCTCGCCTTCTGAAGACTTTGTTCAGCATCATTGCGGAAGTTTTCCAATTGAGTTATTTTGTTTTTTGCTTCGCCTATTTCACTCTTTTGCTCAGATGATTCAACCTCAACAACTTTTTCAATCATTTTTGTGACTATTTCTGGGGGTTTATTTTCCAAATCATATATTTTTTCATTTTTCGTCTCTAAGTCTTTTCTTAAAACTTCAATTTCCATCCATGTTTTCTTCTCAATTTTTTTCTTGTCATCTTCCAATTTTCGGACAGTTTTTTCCAATTTTTCTATCTTATTATGGGACAATTCAGTCTTATCAATTTCAACAATTAATTCATGATTTTTATCTTTCAAAGCGCTTTCCAATTCAGAGATAACCTTTTTTAACTTTTCAACAACTTTTTCGTTATCTGTTTTTTGATTGTCTTTGATTATGAAGTTCCCATTCATTGTTTGATTTTCCTTCAAATCCAACATTTCTGATGTCTTTTCATCTAGTTCTTGTTCC